TCCCCTAAATGCAAAGGAAAGGTGCTCAAATGCTTCCTTTATAATCTCCTTTAGGGTAGGGAACACTGGGCCAGTCTATTAGATAGTGTTGGGAATAACATAGCCTCAAAAAGGGGGCACCAATGTGTTGGGAACATAAAGGAGCGTGTTTGGGTTATCAGCATCTAAGAAACTAAATTCTTGACATCAATAGAATTATTAATGTCAGTAACAATTATTAATGATTATTAATAATAACGGGGCACCACCCTGCGAACAGGGACCAATAACCAAACGATAAACTAAGTCTCATAATTAGTGTTCACTCACAATGTCAACAGTCTGAGTACTATGACACATTCAGAGTGAAAGTGAAGGTTTAAGTTCGAGCACAGACCACATATCAGCTATTATCACAATACACATGCACAAAGTATTCACAGAAGCTGCTCTTTAAAATATAACAGTTTATTATGTTCTAATACTGATGATCTAGTCAACTAATATCTAAACTAACAACTATACATTTATGAGCACGCTATCTAAAATCAACAGACGATTGAAAAGAGGGGGGGGAAGTGTGTGTGTGTGTGTGTGCGTAAGGGGGAGGAGCGAGGGAACAGCTCAGCGACGTAGTTGGGACGTGGTGACGTCTCTCATGCGCGGAGTCAAAATGGCGGATAGCCAACAGGAGACCCGGCGTCTAGTGCCGGTAGCCGTTTAGTACGTAGCTACATTAGCTCAAAGCTATATGTGTGTATGTGTGTGTGTGTGTGTGTGTGTGTGTGTGTGTGTGTGTGTGTCTGTGTGTGTGTGTGTGTGTGGATTAGTAAAAGAGGAACAAAAACAAAAAAGGAACAAAATGAAATAAAACAAGAGATTAAGATCCTTCGCTCCGCGTGGGAGTACGGAAGATTGCTCTCTCAGCCAGGGGAGCAAGAACGGTGACTCTTTGTCTCAGCCGGCGGTTCTGACCTCCTGAACTGATGAGAAGCAACTTCGAACCTCACTGCGGCTGTCTCGACACGAATCACGGTAGCATAGAATACACGGTAACTTCTACACACACTAGCAATTTCAGGGATCGCCAGTGTCGGTGATCATAAAGCATATACCACGTTATAAAAATGAACAGTATTTTAAGCACACAAACAAGATAAAATAAACACAAATCAAACTCTCTCTAACTCTGCCCAGAATCTATTTTGCCTTACGATACGATGCAATCGTGGTGATTGAGGGGGGTACTTCTGAGCTTCGGTGGGCTCAGGCAGCGCGGCTGCGGGCCGCGGGAGGGATTCTCCCGGTGGGAGAGAATCGCTTCGTCTGGATCAGGGACGTTCGCGTCCTTATGGCCGGAGCAAACGAGGCGCTTGGTGGAGAGTGGACGTTCTCTCTCTCTCTCTGAAGAAGTCTTGCTTCTTCACTTCTGCAGGAATAAAAGGGTTCGCTTCGTGGATACGAACAAAGATAAAATAGACAGTTTGGTGAATTCGGCCAGCGAATATAAACTGTTAAACCTAGGATTTGGTTGAAAAGGGAAACAACGTTGGTGTGCTCCCTAGCTCGACGGAGGTCGAAGGGAAAAAGCATTGAGGTGGGGGTTGCAGGTAGTTTTGTAGAACGGTGGCTGAACCACAGGGGTCCTGGGGTGTCTTGGCTCTCGGCCAAATAGATTGCAGCGGTGCTTTCAGGTAACTTCAGGAACGCATAGTTTTTGTGGGGAGGAAACTCACACCCTAATGTGAATTTCTTCAGAGCTGGGGGTTTGGTGCTCAAACTACAATCAGGATGAAACCTTTGCTTGCAAAAGGGAAGGCCTGACTCTCTTTGTTCCACAGCACATGTCGAAGCCATATAGTCAGATCCCAACAATGTCCTTGCGACAGCAACATTGAAAGCAAGGCACCGTCCGCTGTCGTTGATTGATTGAACACTGTGGGTAAACTTTTAAAATAACATCGTTCTTCGGAGGTTTGATTCTGTGTTGGACAGGAATCCTGAGTTGAATTGCACAGCATTGAGTTTGTCACTGTACTCCAAAGTCCTGATGACTTTCATATTAACTTCTCTCCTTGACCTCATGACAATTCCCATCAACGTCAAGGAAAAGCGTTTTGGAAAAGAGGTAGAATGCAGGCGGCAACCTCCGGCTCTGCCGAGTGAAGCCTCTGCTGAAGTGTATTAAACCTTGGATTCGACATGCATTGTGACTCCTCGGGTTGAAATAATACGTCTGGTTGTATAGACGTCTATGAGAAAATGACTCTACTTCTCTCTTGATTTATTACCTCAGTAAACATTGTAAACATGAGTTTATGGTCTCAATCTCTAGTTTCAAGTCTTCTTCAATACAGCATGATGTTCATTTAGTAAATGATGGTCCATTTAAAGTCAAGTAGACCATAAAGGAGAGTATGCTTTAGGGCGGGCTTCCTGTGATTGACAGGTCCCTGCCACTACCAGACGTATGTCACTCCTACGCATTCCAAATATGGTAACTTCTGTTAATTGGTTGCGGAAAAAAACACATGGCACATCGCATGAACACGAGGCTTCAAAAACCAATGGTTGACATCACAATGACTACGTCCACTTCTTCTATAAAGTCTATGGTAGGATGTCACTTCTTGGACTATTCGACCGGAGCCTTATGCTGCCTAGAAAGCATTTACCTATTTTTTCCGTCCAGTGCTTTTTGCTGTCTTTGTTAAAGGGTATCGTCTGTGATCATTACAACCTTACAAGAATGTGCCCAAGAAGCACACATTTTCCCCATTTCTCTTTTGGCCCATTGCAAGCATTACCAAGTGAAATAAATCACTTTGACTCATTAGGTCCATCTGGAGGCTTACATAATATGCATGAGTGTAGGTGTTTGTGAGTTGGAATGGAGCAGCCGAAACCAATTTGTTTGCGTGGCAGAGAAAAAGAACCTCTGTGGACTTCATTAGACCGTGTGGGTGAGTAATTACTACGAGCCCTACATTTCCTTGAATGTGACTTCAGATCAGACCTAAAACTTACATGGTGTCTCGGGAGCTGAAATGGGTCACAGGGATAACTCGCGTAGAGCCGAGCTTTAACAAGATACCAGGACTTCCTCATGTATTCAACGAGCTGACTATTAATGTGAGCAGAGGATGTAATCTGTGTGGGGGGGAAAACAGGGAAGTGTTGACTAGATGAACAGCAAGCTGCCCTGCTTCTCTTTAAGCACTTTGTAACCAAAAACCTGATCCCAGGTCACCCCGAAAAATGCAAAGGACTGTGTAAAGAATTGGGAAACTGTCATATAACCATCACGCTTCAGTGAAACGAAAAGAAGAAGACCCCCAAATTGACAATCTGGCAGGATTGGCGTTCTTGGCTCCTTTTGAAGGCCAATTCAGCTAATACTTTAGAAACAGGAGGTCTTAAATTATTATACTTTATATTTTGGAGCCAAATCAAATTGTTTACAGGGCTTGTACAAAGTTGACAAAGTAGTCAATAAATATGAGATATGAGTTTATAGATAAGTACAATCCCTCCTCGGCCTTGTGGAGGTTGGTTTATGGCTTTTTGCCGGTTACACCCATAGACTTCTATGGGACAGTCTCTGGGTTACACTCATTGTCTTTTTGATTCCTCACAGTTCATTTTGTTTTTACGCCCTCTGGCATCTTCGGAGAATAATGCAGCGCACAGAGTACAAACGCTTCTGTTCGTGCTCGGGAGTATAGAACGCAAGTATAAACAAAGCTTCAGCAGATTTTTGTTGCTTTCACCAAACTTCCTGTGAAGACGAAAGTTTATTTTGGAAAAAAACTCCATGCATGTAGCGAGCCGTGCCCTTGATGTGCCATCCCTGACACGTCCAAACCTGACGCCAAAGGTTAGAGGTCACAGTTTGAAGCTAAACTGTGGTATTTAATGCATCGGGGTGAGAATGTGTTGCAATAGCAGCACTTACAGCAGCAGCAGTAACAACAGTAGCAGTATCAGAATCCTATGCAAAACAAACCCCCTCAGTGTGACATAGTGTGTCCTTTTACATGGCGGCGTAACAGACACTGACTCTGTACCATGCTCGAGCACACACTGAAACACTCTTATGGTGTTTACAAGCAGGCGGAGAGTGGATCATTTATCCGAACGCGGTGAAAGGTAATCTAACCCTACGCAGGCAAATCTAATTAGGTCGGAGCCAGTGAAGCTGCTTCGGCCCGGCCCGCTCAACTGGAGTGAAGGCAAAACTTCTATTGCTGATGTTATTAGGCATCATGTAAACACACTGGATGGCTCCCTCAGTCACTGCTAGAGCACAGTGTGCTTTCTAAGCAAATACAATTCAGATTTGTTTATTTTCTGTCTAAGCGACTTTTAAAACACACCTGTTAAGGTCATATTAAATGGAAATGAGTTATTCCTAAAGACCAATTAATGAATGAACGATAGGAATTTAGAAAAGCAATGCAAGTCCTTTTGTAAATACACAGAAATAACACAATGTAAAAAACAACCCTGCTTGATTTATTCAAGTCCTATAGTTATAATAAGGGTATGATGAAAGTGATTTTATGGTCTGCTCACACTCGTACACAAAAACACACACGCGCGCACACACACCCTCTCTCCATTGACGCCAGACCTCGAGGCCCGGCCTCCCTCTTCTGCGGGAGCCAATTGCAGCGTTCCGAGCAGGCGAGCCTTCATGAGCCCTACCACCCCCCCCCCCCCCCCCCCCCCCCCCCCCCCCCCCCCCCCC